GTTCTTTTCTTGCAAACTTTTCATTCCCTGGCTAGCTCTGAAGATGTTACCCAGCAGCACTGAAGATGTTACCTAGCTGGGTAATGAAATGTTTGCAAGAAAAGAACCAAGCTCAGAGAACCCCAAGGACTCCGCAGTTCAACCCTGAGCTACACATATTCACCTCTATTGGAAACACAGTTTTGCATATCACAGGTAGAAGAAACATAAAGAAAAAACCATTCTCACAAACTAACCCAAAGAAAGGGAGGAGCACAGTTGGTGAAAGATAGAAATGAAAGATTTACAGACAGACAGGCTTTTTCTTTTTATGTTTATCCTTATCCTTGGCTTCACGCTCCCGCTTGGCAAGTCTCCGTTTAAATTCTTCTGGCATTTTTTCATAACAGTGTCTGCAGACAGGTTTGAGATCAATTTCAACAAATTTGTCCCTTTCAGGTTGAGCAAAGAAGGAATGGAAGAGAGAACAAGAAAGAGTCAAGATACAAGTAAAGTAGAAAGAACTCTGCAGAAAAAGAGAAATTAAGAGAAAGTAGTGAATACATGCATAGGAAAGGATATCCTTGCTATTTCCCAGGGACTGTATTATTACAGTAAGAAAAAGACTTTATCACAGTATAAGTGCATTCCTCTATGGAGTACATGTCTAAGTTTTTAAGGGCAGCTCTTCTATTTCTAAAGGCAGAAGACACACCCCAAGTGCACTGCAGATACTCTAGGAGAGGAAAAAAATCACTCTGAACCTCTTGTGTGTTAGAGAGCAACCTGAGAAACCCACTAAATTTACAGCTGCTCTGTCCTGAATTGCTCTTCTAGTTGAACTTCTATGACTTCCATCCAAATGCAGAGTCAATAGAAAATTTATAGCAATCTGTTCTCCGCTTGGAACCACAACACATTTCTGCTTATTCTGTTCTGCAGAAATGCAGAGCAAACAGTATTATAAGCTCCTGAGCAGATTAAGCACTGATGAAAGAAAGCAGGACAACATTCCAGAATGTAACCTGGCTTCTGCCTTGATTGGACAAGGCCCTGGTTTGCCTCACCTCCTCCTCAAGACTTGCTGCAATGATCGTAAACGTTTTCCAAGGGAGCCCTCAATTTACAAGTGACATCATCAATTCCGTGATTATCCCCCAAAACTGATATACTTACTTGAGTGTTAACTTGGTGTTACAAGTAGAACATGCAAAGCAGTTTACACACCATGCTTTATTCAAGGCAGAGACAACTAAGAAAGAACAAAGAAAAGACAAGATGAATCCAAAGCTGAACCACAATACTGACTGCATTTATGATCGTACATTCATAGCATATATTGCTGAAGTAATACTGAAGAAGACAAATACAAGGCTGTCCAAATCATCATGCATAGTCTAAAATTACATATTTGCATAGGCATCATGGGTGGCAAAACCTTATTTTGGCCCTATGATCATGGGCATATGTACAGCATGTCAGCCACAACATACTCATACTTGGGCCTTACTTCAGGATGCATCACATCCTGATATGGTGAATCAAGGGCTGTAAGCCTCACCTTGAATGGCTAGTGGGTAATGGCTACAAGGCTAGCAGCTCAAAAGTCTGAAGAGCATCAGCGTGTCTATTCCTGTCCTAAATGCTCACATTCCAGGCTAAATTCAGCAACTGGTATCACAGGACAGCTGCCAGAGTTGGAACTGATGGCTGTTACAGGCTACAAGGTCTGGAGCCCAGCCAGGGTAAGTAGTTGCAAAGTTCTGGTAATCTAATTACAGTAGCAAACAGCTTGCAGCTGCCCAGTAGAAGTTGTTTGCTCTGTGGTTGCCATCCCGTGTTAAGTATAGGGATTAAACCTGACTTCCCTTACAGTGTCCTGTAACTGTTTGGTCCTTCCCAATTGCTCACCAGACTGGTTCTAAAATAATAACCAGATGGAAACTGTACAAAGACCGGAGTCTTGCCTTTATATATTACATTTTTTTTACCAGTCAGAAGCAAGCATGCAGTATTATCTTTCCAAGTGTCAATGTTGTCGTCACTGCATTTAGACATTTTTGTCGAAGTCTATGGTTTTTAAATGTTCAATGTTAGGGAAATCATTCTACACCATTCTGCCATGGAAACCCTGTGCTCTGTAGCAGAAAATTCTACAACACCCTATAGCAGTGTTTCTCAACCTTGGCCACCTTTATTAAGGGGGGCGGGGCTTAAACCACCTCATTCCTACTCAACCCCGCGCCCCCGCGGGGGTGGGGGGTGCGTGTCTATCACGC